GCAGTCGTTTCAACCCCTGTATGATTTCGCTGCGTCGGGGCTGTTGTGATATACGGTCTTCGCTCATAACGAGCGCAAACATCACCAAAGATATGAATTGACTCGTATAGGCCTTAGTGGAGGCGACACCGATCTCGGGCCCGGCGTTGATGTGAACCCCGCAGTGGCTCTCACGGCATATACTGCTGCCCACAGTGTTAGTGATGCCCACAATAAGAGCGCCCCTCTGTTTGCAATACCGTAACGCCATTAAAGTGTCGGCCGTTTCGCCCGATTGCGAGATGAAGAAACACACGTCGTCTCTGAAGATGGGTGTGTTTCGGTCCAGGAAATCGCTCGCCAACTCTATCATCACCGGCAGTTCAGTCAACTCTTCCAGTATTTGTCGAGTCTGGACAGCAAAATATTAATATTTTTAACATATTTTTAATCCCAAAAGTTTATACAACAGGAAGAATACTAACGGCGATAACGCTGTGATAACTGGTTCCGCAGCCGATTAGCAGCAAACGCCGGCACCGCTTAATCTCCGGTATGTAATCCTTGATCCCTCCGAGGATTATGGCCTCGTTCTCGAAGTTAACCCTTCCTCTCATCGTATTGATGACAGACTCCGGCTGTTCGAAGATCTCCTTCTGCATGAATGAGTTGAAGTTGCCTTTCATTATCTGCTGGATCTCCAGCTTCAGTGTTATGATCTCCCGATGCAGTGAAGAGTCATCTAATGTACGCTTAAGTCGATGTATTGTCAGAACTAAATGGCATTTAATGAAAATAAATAGTATTTAAATAACTTTTTATATTTCTCATTCAAAGTTTGAATTTCAAACTTGTATATCAACAGTGAATGCGAAATGTGAAATAATGTGTGGGTTTATACTATAAACTTTATAGTAGTCATAATATTGTAAGTATTGTTACAGGGATTGCATTACAAACACTTTAACATTAAAGTTGTGTGAATTAAATGCGAGAATAATTTACAAACAAATGGTAAGAAGTAGACGAAATATAAATCTACATATCTATCCGACACCAAATATTTGTTAGCTATAATCTGGATATCTATTACATATACAATAAATAGAGTAATGCATTGAAAATACTCGTCAAAACAAGATTATATAAACAAAAACTTTAAAAAATAAAAATTTTTGTTTGCATTAAAAACTAAATATAGAAATTGTTTGGACAAAAATATTAAAAATTTCACCCAAAACTTCTACATACACGCAGTAGATTATGAATTTCACCAACTATGAATATTACTATTGGTGTGCAAACAAAAGCGTCGGACATTTATGGGGTTATACTTACGGCCCTCTTCTACTGAGGCCACGTCGTCGTCCTCCAGATATATGACACGATTTGTGTGTTCAATGATAGCACTGGCATCGGATGCGAACAAATACTCGACCACTTTGTCGTCATTTAATGGCGTGAATTGTGTGGTGGACTGACTTCGGGCCAGTTTGCCGCCGACCACAGCACTCGTCGACAGGCCATTCCGCGGATGCAGATCTATAATCAGCCACACATTTGTTAAACAAGTTTGGTTTGTTTTCTACGCTATAATCTTTATGTTTTGATTAATTATATTAAATTAAACAATATATACAGTATATATCGTAAGATAGATAACATGCAATGGATTAGTAAATATC